CCACAAGTAGGGAGGTTTAAACAACAGACTTTTATTATCTCACAGTTCAGGAGACTAGAAGTCCAAGAACAAGGTGTCAGCAGGGTTGGTTGCTTCTGAGAGCTGTGAGGAAAGGATCTGTTCAGCCTGCTCTCCTTGGTTTACACTACAAAGTCATCTTCTTCCAGTGTGTCTCCATATCACCTTCTATCTGTGCATGTCTTTCTTTGTGTCCAAATTTCTCCTCATCACAAGGACACCAATAAAATTGGATTAAAGCCCATGCTTAAAACTTCATTTTTAACTTGACTATCTCTGTAAAGACCCTATCCCCAAATAAGGCCACATCCTAAAATACTAGACATTAGGAATCCAACATATCTTTTTTTTTTTTTTTTTTTTGAGGAGGGGATACAATTCAACCCAGAATATATGCATTATGAATATGCAGAAGAAACATTTCCAATATGTGTGTCTTAAGTTTATTTGACAAGAAAATCTGCTTCGGAAAAAGTCTCTTCCTGGACACACTTTGAAAATATTGGCTTTGAGGGATTCATGGTTTCTCAGACTAATAGTACAAAGATAGGATCCTGGAAGAAGGTTTAGGGATAAATCAGGTGTATCTAAGGAGTGAGTATATTTGTCTTAGCCCATTTTCTGTTGCTATAAGAAAATCCTGGAGACTATTCATGTTATAAAGAAAATAGGTTTTAATTACCTTATAACTCTGAAGATCCAAGAGTTTAATGCCAGTAACTTCTCAGCTTCTGGTAAGGGCCCCATTACAGACGGTATCACATGAAAGAAACATGTGCATGAATGATGATTGGATGCATGTGGAAGAGACCAAAACCCCAGGGGTAAACTTGGTTTGTAACAACCTGATCTCATGGTAATTAATCCGGTCCCTCAGGATCCAATTCTCTTCTATGAGAATCCATTTCCAAAAGCCCTAACCCAGTTATTGAGAAAGACATTAATCCATTTATGAGGGTAGAAGCCACATGACCTAATTATCCCTTAAGAAGCCCTCCACTTCTCAACAGTTATGTTAGGGACCAAGCTTCCAGCCCATAGACCTTTGGGGAACAAACCACATCCAAACCATAGCGACATCTACATCTCACCCACAAACCTGATGGGACCCAACACATCTAGGCTCCGTCCTCAATTCCACATAGTGACTGTGGCTATGCTTATCTGCCAATAGACAACTTACTGTAATGCAATTAAAATCTCACCACCTTCTCAAAGAGATAAGATAAATTCTATCACTTGCTTCCAATTGATACAACTCCTCATATCTGGGCACTCACAATAGAATGAGTATTTTAGAAGAAAGTTGGATGACTCCTATCGAAATGACCCTGCTATTGTAAAAATTAAAGAAACAATAATAATGAAGGAAACACCAAAATGTGATCCCTCTTGACCTTTTCAAGTTTCAAAATACAAATGAATACATCATATGTTGAAACTAAGTTAAAGCTCATATTAATATTGATTTAGAGTACATTCTTTCCTATTGTGTGAAGCCAGAAATAGAAATTATCACATAACTAGTGCTTAAAGGCTGTAACATTCCCCAGACAGGTTTACTTACATTTCTTGGGTTACATTTCCCAATGACCTTGTCCCACTTCTGCACAAGATGAGTAAATATTAGAACTAGCACAATCTCCTAGTGTGTGATGCTATTTATAATCATGCAGAGCCTTGGCTAGCCACGTACAACCTAGGAAAATGTCTAAAAATTGCTTTATTGTATACCTAATTTAGGGAAACAATCCATTAAAAAATACAAAGTTAATAGTTGCACAAAATATCCAAGAATATGAAAAGTCAATAATCTACATGCAATACAAATCCTATGAACTTTCTGTTTGTTTAGTTTTTGAGATGGCATATCACTACATGGGTAGGTTCCACATAGGCCTATAACACAGGGACAGATTCAACATCCTCCCTGAGATCTGGAGTTGGGTTCCACTCCCTTGGACAGAACCATAAGGACTTCAAAAATCTACTACATAGAAACAGTTGAGTGAAAGTCCTCTAAATACTGCACCTAGGGGAAAGTGTCTGTGCTAGTCAGTATTAAATTGACAGAACTAAAAATTTCATATATAAGAGCACCTGAGTTTCCTCACTTCCACCCTGTAACGGGCCTGCCTCCCATTTCTCTTCACATAATACAGTTCAAAACATTTTTGGTCATCTGAATTTGGGTCAGTGAAATTCTGATTATCTAAATACCCCCAGAAGACTTCATGTAGATGCAGTCTCCAGTTGTTGTGCATAAGAAACCATAATCAGATGTTCCTCAACTCTTTTGTGTTGTTTCTTCCATTCTTCCCTATAGAAAAAGTTTCTGTGTGGGGTTCCCCCCCCAAAAGGAAAGTATCGTAAGTTATGGTAAATGAAAGTCCTATGGTCTGAATAAGTGTCCCCCAAATGGTCAAGTGTTAAAGGCTTGGTCCCCAAGGTGGTGCTGCTGAGAGGGGGTGAAACCTTAAGAAGTGGGGCCTTATGGGGGTCTTTAGGTCATTGGGGACAGCAGCTTCTTCCTTTTTCTCTTTTGCATTCCATCCAAGGAGCAAGTAATTTGCTCCTTCCTATACTCCCCATCATTGCCATTGACAGTATCCACCAGAAACCCAAAGCAATAAATGCACCTAATCTTTGAACTAGAATCTCCAAAGCTGTGAGCCAAAATAAAACTTTTCTCTTCATAAATTAATTATCTCAGGTATTTCATTATAGTGACAGAATGTTAACACGGGTAGAAATCCTAAACAGCGTAAAAACCATTTCTAGGAAAAATAAGTAAGTTCCTAATCTAGAATAAAAATTCTAATTAAAATCCCTTCCTTTGTTGGGGACAGGGGACAAGTTCTCACTATGTAACCCAGGCTGGGCTCCAATTTATAATCCTCCAGCCTTGGCTTTCCAAGTAACTGGGATTAAAGGCATGCACTGCCATACCCAACTCTAAATCATATTCTTAATCATCCTATCAAATCTAACCATGCTTTTCACCTAACATCTATGAAGTATGATCTCCCTCACTTCTGTCTTAAGAAACATGAGACAGTTCAAGGGGAATTGTGGATATGACCTTATTTTAAACTGTACTAACCCTCATGAAATGAATCAGTGGTTTAAAAAAATGTTTATTAAAAAAGGCAAAAATAAAATATTTTTGTGTCACTAAAATTTACTTTTATTTTCTTTATGTCATCCATATTTATTATTTGTGAATGCCATAGAAGACATACATTGGCGCTATGGCACATCATGAAATTTATAAATATATATATATATATATATATATATATATATATATATATATATATGTATAATTGGCAGTCTGTGCTCAAGAATAAATTTAAAGGTGAAAGCATGAGAAAAAAATGTTATTAGGGAGCAGATGGTTTAAGAGACTAGCTTTCAAACTTTTTGTCACTATGTGCATCAATCCTAAACCACTTTCAAAAAAAACAACTAAAGAATAATAACCAATTCAGAACAGAGAGGAAATGTACATGACAGTAACAGGTCCAAAAGGAGTGCGGCAAAGTCAGAAACAGCAGAAGTGGTAGTGAAGAGCATTCATTTAATTTAGAAGTGAAGAACAAAGATTTAGGTTTCAACTAAAAAAATAAAATCACATCTGAGATGTGATGTTCTGTCAGATAATCAAAGGGATAAGGTCACTGCTTTCTACACACACAAGGAGAACACAGGGTAGATTTTCAAATAGGTTACAAGGACTTCCACGCACCTCAAAGGAATGGTAGCCAGGGAAACAGAAAGGAGAGTCCACAGATGACCCCAAAAAAGGCAAAGTGCCTCATTAGGCGAACATAGAAACCAACCTGTCAGAGAATCACTAGGTCAGCCAAATCAGAGTTCTCCCAAATTTCTACAGGAAGTTAAATGATATCTGGGCATGGTTGAACCAAGTGGCATAGCACTCACTACTCCCCACATCTTAGTCGTTCTCTCACTATCCGTAAGAGGTGATGCTGGGGCTTAAATACAATTACATCTGACCCCAAAGCTCTTATGAAAGAGTAGCATATAAAATTGACCTCAAATAATAGGTAGAATTTGAAAACGGAGATTCTCTGGGACTGAAAGAGAAAAGGCAATAAGCAGTGCCAAGGAGGCCACCAGAGGAAGGAAATGGCAAGAGCCAAAGCACAGAGGTGGGAAACCCTGGGCACATGCAGGAATTAAAGGAGGTGATACAAGATAAGGCTTCCAGAAGGTCCTGCAGACTGAGTCAAGGAAGGAGGCATCATTCTAGAGACCATGAGGAATCACTAAAGGCTTTAAAGAGGGGAATGGCATAACTACAGGTAGACTCTGGGAAACTAATCCAACGAATCTTTCTAAGACATGGACAATGGATCAAAGAGTAGGGAGATATCTTGCACATAGTAGATAATTAATATTGAATGGATAAAGGCAGAAAGACAGGTTAAAATGTATTGCATTTCTCCAATATAGTATCAAACCCATTCAACCCAATCCCATTTCATATTGTTTATTTTGCTAATCAGAGATCAAATTCCACTCCTTCTAGAAGGAAATGATGCTGCTGGTGCTTTAACAACGACAACAAAAAATCATCAGTCAAATACAGCCCTGGAAATGTTGCTGTTAAAGTATTTATTCTGGCAGAGATTAATATTTTCCTCTTCTATTCACAAGGAGGTACATCTGAACTGCGGTTGTAACTGCTGAAAAAGAAAACAAAATTAACCAAGTATAAAAGTTAGGCAATGAGGAGGGATCCTCCCCCAGAAAAGGTTACTGGAAAATAAGGAAATCATGAGCTTGACCTCATTTTTCCTTTGCTTTCCTGTAGCATCCAAGTCAAACACAAATTAAGCTATAGCCTTCTTGATGATGCCAGACTTTCTTCTGCACAGGTCCTGGAACCATCTGCAAAGCACCAACTGCTCAGTGAGAAACTGAGGCTGAAAAACACTGAGGTAGTCAAAACCTACCTGATTTTCTTCATGGGAAACCCTCATCTGCTCCTTAAGGACAGACATCCGGGCTGCCTCTTCTTTCCTCAGGACTCTTTCCTTCTTAAGCTCAGGACTCCAGAAGGTCTTGATGCTGTTCATGGAAGATCCCAGCTTGCTGTCCTTGATGTCCAGCTCTTTCCGAAGGAGATCGTTCTCTCTCTGGAGCTCCTTGAGCTGGGCTTGAAGGTCTAACATTGTGCTATCTCTTACCTGCCTCAACATGGAGGGGACCTGGTGGTGGTGGTGATGGGATGAGCCACTCAGGCCACCATGTTGATCGGTGTATGAAAGAACATCTGTGTGGGAAAGTCCTGCGGAAGCAATATTGGGACTACTCCCCATAGCTGTGACTCGGCCTCCATATACAGCTCGATTAGTGGCCCTGCCTAGAGTCATGGTGCCCTTTGGGTATGTTGTGGAAGCCACCCCCTCATGATCACTCAGGTACATGGGTCCAGACGTAGCATAGGCTGCATTAAGGGACTGGATATTCTCCATAGACAGGGTCTTGCCTGTTCCTCCCCCTCCCCCACTACTGGTTCTTCTGTGGCCCAAACGAGGAGACCTTGGCAGACGAGGTGATCTGGAAGGGCTGCCTTCCAGATTGGTGATTGTTCTTGCACTTCCATACATTTTTCTTCTATTATGAGGCGCTACTGAAGAGAAGAAATGCTACACCAAGTTGGGGTTTAAGTCAGTATTTCCACTGTTGACCAGGACTTTCACTGCGTTCTTTTCACGGTCTATACCAGAAAATGACTCCAATCAGAGATCTGCAAAGTGAGAAAAGGAATAGTTAAAAACAAACCTCTTAAGAACTCAGACTATAATGGCATTATATTTTTAAATATACTGGTAGAAAAGAGATGATGAGGAAAGGTGGTAGCTCAACAGTCTCATCTGTAACATTTATTGAAAAAAGAAAAATGACCCCAAAACTTTCTTGCTACATGGAAACATTTTTGTAAATTGCCCTCACTCTGCCACCAAACAAGAAAAAGTTCTCAAAACAAAAATGAAATTCTTTTTTTCCTTAGGAAAATGAAGCTCTCCATTTTGATTTCTGCTGTTAGAATTGGGACCTCCCAAAAATTTCACCAAGGGATTCCGCCATCATGGATACCTTGGCAACAAAATAATCCATCCTTAGGGGCATGACCCCAATGACTAAGAAGCTGCTGCTTCCTAAGATGTCAAAATTTGACAAGTATGTTGATCCTTTCTCCTTCTATACCCATTATAGACAGCACTACTCATCACATTCCTCTTTTCCACTAGGTTGAGAAATCTCTACACAACCTTCTAGATGGTTTACCACTAATCAACTGGCATCAACACATGAATTGGAATCTACTGACCACCTTAGAACTAGGTATCTCTAAAAAGTGGCTCAACCAATGAGACATCTAATGTAAGTTCAGATTCTCAATGCTATCACCAGGGAAAACAGTCTTTTCTTTTCCCTTTCATATATACCTTCCAGGTGTATATGAGAATTCTTTTCCATGTGAGCTAACCTAGTTAATCTTCACAGTAACCACTTGCCACCTGTACAAAAATAGAATAGGGTAATAGAGTATATACCATGTTTGAGTTTCTGGTCACATAACCCCTACAGAAAAGCAATAGAAGCTCCCTGACATGATGAGTCAATTATGTTAGCACAGACTTTATTTAGCTGGGACTTTAGGGTTCTGATTATTCCTTCAATAGGACTCAAGTGACCTTAATGGGGTACATTGTAGCCTCCTGCTCTTCCTCTTAAGGAATTTTTTTAGTATGATTTCTTTTTCCTCAGGTTTATTTTTTTTCCAATACCCTTTTTACCACATTTTTTATTGGTGCATTATAGTTGTACATAATGGTGGGATTTATTGTTACATATTTATACATGCATACAATATAACAATATAATTTGACCAATGTCACTCCCTAGCACTTGCCCCTCCCTCCCGGCCTCTCACCCTTTGCCCCTTTCCTCTACTGAACTCCCTTTGATTTTCATAAGATCCCCAATCCCCCATCTTTCTTTTCCTTTTTCCTCTCTAGCTTCCACATATAAGAGAAAACATACAACCCTTGACCTTCTATTCCTCAGCTTTATGACAATTAAAAGAACCTATTCCAGACAGGAACAAACTGAGGTTGAAATCACTCTAAAAAGGACTAGTTGAGTTACTTAGGCAAATTATTTATCTGTTATAAGCTTCTACTCTCCGATCAATAAAATGCAGATAATACTACCTAACTAATGGTATTGTAGGAAATGAGTCATTTTAATTGATAGTGTTTCAATGAGATAAATACATTAAAAGCAATAAAAGGGGTATCTTTTATTTTGACTTGCCTATCATTCATCTTTTCTCCCTTCTCTACATATACTTTCTAGTAATTCTATCTCTATTTTCCTTAGAGAAGTTGTTTCCATCTCTTTACTAATAGTTCATAGGATTAGGTATGGCTTACTCGCCCTATTCCATCCTAGACAGTGCCAGGGGTGAGAACATGACTTGGGCAATCAACATATTCCATACTCCAGACAAGGGAGCTAGTTTAGGGGTGGAAATGTGATGCCCCTTGGTCCAAAAAGACCCCATACTATGGCTTCAGCTAGAACAACTGGGGAAGGTAAGTTCTTTTGCAGCTGGAATGACTTGCTTTCAAGATGGAGCTCTAAGTGCTTCCATATGGACATGGTCTCCCTGAGAGTGAAACTAGTGCAAAATAAAACAGCACTAGACTCTGAAGATGTAAAACCAAGCCAGGTGACATCATTTGATCCTCCAGATCCAGCAGTCATTAAAGCTTCATCTCTCTTCAAGCCATTTTAGTTATACATGTCAGGTAGACTGACAGATTAATGACTCCACTTTACCTTTCCTCCATGTTCTTAGCAGTACCCTCCTAATTTGACTCTAATTCGAATCATGTGACCTGTTTGGGCCAGTACGTATGATAACATACGTGAACCAAGCAGGGGCCTGAAGTAGCACTTATGTGTTTTTTCTTGTTCATTTCCTCTACCATAACAATAAGGACATGCCCTAATAAAAGATGGGAAACATAAAATACAGCTGTTATGGTTTAGATGAGGTGTTCCCCAAAAGCTCATATGTGAGACAATGCAAGAAGGTTCAGAGGTGAAATGACTGGGTTAGAAGAGCTTAACCTAATCAGTGGCTGCATCTACTGATCAGATTAACTGGGTGGTAACCATAGGCAGGTAGGGTGTGGTTGGAGGAGGTGGGTCACTGGAGGTGTGCCTTTGGGGCTTTATATTTTGTCCCTGCTTCCTGGCTGCCATGTCCTGAGCTGCTTTCCCCCACCACATCCTTCGGCCATGATGTTCTGTCTTCCTTGAGCCCAGAGCTGTGGAATACAGCTTTCCATGGACTGAGACCTCTGAAACCATGAGCCCCAAATAAACTTTTTCTCTTCTCTGTTGTTCTTGTCAAGTCTCTTGGTCACAGTGATGAGAAAGCTGACTAAAACAGCAGCCAAGCTGTCCTAACCAACAGCCAACCAAACCCAAGATGTGCGAGCAAGCCCTGCCAAGATCAGCAAAGCTGCCTAGACAACCAGCAGCTGCTCACGGATGCACAAGCAAGCCCCAATGAGATCAGCTGAGTAGCGCACATTCACAGACTAAATCAATGCTCCTTACTATGACACTGAAGTTTTGTAGTCAGTTTTTTCACAGCATTATGGAGTTAATGGGAAACTGATACATTTGCCCATAAATTTCTTTTTTACTACATTCATTTTAGTTGGAGTTTCTATCACTTACACCCTACAGTCCTCACAGAGAGGATGAAGAAATATTTTCCACAAAGCTTTCCCCTTTCCCTAAAAGGACCTTTAAAAGAATGATATACCTGTTTGTAAGGAAATTCATTTCAAATGTTTGCATTGCTCTGACTTTAATTTTGTTTTCCTTGAAAATACACAAAAATCATTTTGTATCTCATATTTTTGCATGAATAATCTGTTCTATATTTGAAAAAGGGAGAATCAACAGTTTCAACAATAAAAATTTAGTTACATTAAGTAATGAGACAGAGAGACAAGGGGGATAGTATGATCGCTATCACGAATATTCAATGAGATGGGAAGAGCAGGCTACAAAACACTATCTATGATTCACTCACACTTTCGTAAAGCACACGCATATATATATATATATAATCAATAGCAAAGGAGACTAGAGTATCACATATCAAAATGTCACAAGTGGTAGGATTCCAAGGTTTCCATCTTCTTCTTCTTGACATCCGAATGCTCTAAATTTTCTATAATAAGGATATACACTTTTATAATAAATCTTTTTTTCTCTATAATTCCCACAGTTACATGTATGTGTTACCTTTCCAACACTTAGAATCTAGTGATTTAGGTCCCGGCTGGGCCACCACTTACAGAATTGTATCTTCCCAGAAAGTGACTAAATGTCACTTGTCCTCACCTGTCTTCTCCCCTTGTATCTAAAGACAGACATTTCTGATTTCTCTGTTTGAGGTCCCTCTCACAAAAGCCATGAAATTTATATCCACACAGATTTAATCCTCAGTGATTTCACTAGGTCAGCTGGCCAAGATTTTGGAGAACTACAAGAACCAACAAGCAAAAAGTGAATGTGTTCCTTTTGGAAACAAGCGCGCGCGCGCACACACACACACACACACACACACAACATACAACATGCATAGAAACATTATCTTGTTTGAAATAATATTTCCTTATTTAAAAAGCAATGTATGTTGAGACTAGCTCACAGTTTCCTCTGGCTTTCCTTATCTAGGTTTAGTATCAGATTTATTCTAGTATGACAATGGATGAAGAAGCTTCCATTTCTCATATGGCCTGGAACAGCTAACATAGTACAGCCCTTTCTATTTCAGAAATGTTTGGTAGAACAGATTCATAAAACTGAATGGGCTTGGTTGTTGGTTAACTTCATTTTTTTGCTATGTTTACTGATCTTCTTTGGTTTGCTGCCTATTTTGTATCAATCATTGTAAAAATTCTTTTTCTTCAGAAACTCCATTCCACCTAGATTTTTCCGTCTAATTGGTACTGCTTTGTATAACTTTTCCTTAAAATTTTAAAAATCATCTGCTCTTCTGTCCCCATCTCACTCCAAATGTCCTTAGTAATTTTCTTTTTCTCTTGATAACAATATGATAAATGTTTGTCTCCTAGAGTGTCAAAGGTGTAACATTTTATTTTATTGATGTATTTTACTACATTCTCTTTTCTATTTCATCTGTATCTCTTTCCCCTTAATAATTTCTGCTTCCTTTGTGTTTGATTTTAGTTTTAGTTTTGTCTTTATTTTACTTTCCCCTTTCTGCATTAAATACTCATTTGCCTTCAATCACATTTTCAATTAAATGTGTGATATGACACAAGAATATTCATATGGCTGAAATCAGAAATGTCTGTCTTTAGATACAAGGGGAGAAGACAGGTGAGGACAAGGGCTGTATGCATAAAACCTTTACTGTCATTTGTAACTAGCTTGCTATTTTTCATTTGAAATATTTTCTATCCCAGTAATTAACCATAAGGATATATTTAAATGTCAAAGTGGATAGAAATGTGGGGGTAAAAATTTGCAGTTCAAATTTTTATGGCATTGGGGTCTGAGAATATAGTACATTTTTTTTAATTTGTTAAGAAGTTGTAATTGGTCTAATGGTGTTCTTAATTGTTGAGCAACTAATGAATTATTTTAGAAAATGCAGATAAGATTAAGGGAGAAAATAAAAACAAT